GATAAGGGATGCGCCCCCGCACTCGACTTCCATTCAGAATCGCAATGGCGTAATCAGTGCGTATGTGGCCTATACAATGACTTGCGGTGGCCAGCCAATGTATAAGTCAGTGCTTTTATCCTCCCAGAAGAGTCTGGTACCAATTAACCAACCCAGGAGGGATGGAAGGCTTGGTTGGCCTAGGCGTACATCGAACAGGGATTTGAATCCGTGACCGTGCGTGTGAGATAGTGCGCTACTTTCAACTACAACACCTCCGCCCCTGTCAAATTTATATTAGGAAGAAAGTGGAAACAGCTCGCAATTACGCCTACAAGAAAGAAAACTAGTATCGCTTCTGTACTACTGCTTCCTCGCCCCCGTACTATTGCTACTGCTACGAACAACAAGAGTATTCATTCGGAACATACCTGTCAATAGAATCGCTTGCGTGGCCTTCCCGTTACGAAGTTTTCATCAATGTAGCGGTCGGTCACTTTATACAACCCATACAGAACAATCACTACCAGAGCGAGCACAATAATCATATTCATAAAGGACCAGACATCGCTGAGATAAGACGATTGCTTTGCACCTGTAAGCAGCAAAGTAAAGTATGGAGGATGACGTATTATGGCGTTAATCAATTTCGCTGAGAGATAAGCCCCGCATTCGACTTCAATACAAAGTCGTAGTGCGTAGTGAATGCGGACGTGGACTAAACTATGATTTACGGTTGCCAAGCAATGCACGAGTTAGTGCTTTTATCCTTCCAAATGAATTTGCTACTAATTATCCGACCCCAGAAGGTATGGAAGAATTGGTTGACCTAGGCGGATAACGATCAGGTATTCGAACACGTAACCAGGATTGTGTGATAGCGCGATATTCGCCATTACACCACCTCTGCTTGTGAGGAGAAAAGTAACGTTAACAAATTGATTCCGGTATTGGCGTGTGCCCCACCAAAACGCGCTCATCCACGAACACAATAGCAAATATGAGAACTAGGACGGCTACTGCGACAAAGAGCTACTAAAAGGTGTTCTGTCTAGACTCCCCTCTCAGAGCTTTAAGGGTTTTCAGGTGAAGTGTAAACATCAAAAATGGTATCGAGAAAATGCTCCTATTCACCAATACGCTCCCTCCCCGCCCAACAGTCAGTAAGCTTGCCCGTGTTCCGCGAAGACGAGCGACGATCAGGGTAACCGGGGAAAGGGGAATTTAGCAACACATTTCAGCAACGAATGCAACAATTTATTATTACGGAAACTGAGTGATAAAGATGGCGATGCAATGAAAAGCGAGTGGTCTACAGGCACATATTGCGCCTACTTTAATATATGATGAGAGCAAAAGAGCTGGACGGATATTGAATTGCAAAAAATCCTCTTTGTCTTTACTTGTCAGGGAAATACGAAAGTGAACCACGATCTTCGTAGTAATTCGCCTTGCCGTAGCCCCTCCAGGTTTTCGGAATCGAGGAAGTTCACAACTTGATCAGCTTGATCTTGCACGTGTTCCTACCATCTGTTTTTGTTCAACATCTCGAAAAGCAATATCTGTGAACAGTTTCTTGCTTAATGTTATCGAAGACGCTGGGTGGAACCGAAGAGCTTTGATCGCATATAACAGTGATTTATTTAACTAGAGCGAATGCAAGTGGGGTAGCGAAAGTGTAAGGGATTAAGATTACGTAGCCTCGAAAGCAAAAGTACAGGTTTGAGTACCTCGATGCCAAAATTTTGCCCATAACTCGACATCCTTGTAAGATTTTTGCATCGTCTACTGCAGTGGAATAACCGCGATAAACAGAAATGGTTTTATCCCATTAAACTTCAGCTTGAACTCTACTCCCGGAGGATGCTTCTTGCGTCCAGCCGATGTATTGGGCAGAGCAGTATAGAATCGACACATAAGGGTTATAGATGCTGGTACGCTAGCTCGCAGTTGCCTTCGTTGCTAGCAACAGGAAAATGAAATCTTGCAACGCACCACTCACAAGCAGTTATATAAAGCGATGCTAAAAACTCACGCGCCGGCATGTAACCTCCATAGTACTGCACTTCTGTGACCGGCTTATCGGATGATGTACGGAACGTATCAATCTCATAACTGAAATCAACAGATGAGCTTGCTTTGGTATGATACGCTGGTCCGAAAATAGCGTAGCTCATCAGTAGCTTAGAATGTTTTCTTTATCCCGATCGACTTATAAAAAAAGGTAGTAAAACAAACTGCTTTGAAAACATCCTAAAAGGTTGAATCTTTAACTGAAAATAAACACAACATCTCACACTTTGAACGACAGTATATCGTGACCTGTCGTAAGATCGCCAGTGGCAGCTGATATTCCCATGTGGTAGTCCACTGGTAAGTACAAATCTGAAACGCAGACTAACTAGTAACTCTTATAGCAGTATCGTCTGCTCAATGTCACAAATCGAGGTGGTTCAGAAAAATGAAAGTGAAGACTAACTAGACGCATTCGTGCAATGCGTCCACTGATTATCGTTGTCTTTTGGCAACGAATAGAAAACCTGCAAGACGTCTCTAGCGTATCTGATGAGGATCTTAATTGTAGGAACTGGATGATCAGCAGAGTATTGGGCAACGACGCGATTCGCTCTGCAACAGTGAACACATTAAGGAGAACCAGTAGAGGAAAGAAATGGTTGGCTTTGCGTACCTGAATTGGCATTCTGGCAGGACTTTGATATTATTACCATCCAAATTCACGTCAACCTCGGCACCCTGAGCTGGGCTATTGACCAATATGAAAAGACGAGCCCCCTGTGCAGTATTCGCACCCGCCTCGTTCGTATATGTATCCAAGACTGAATCACAGCTTCTTCGTTTGAGAATTTGCAGAACTCATGCAGAGACCAGTGAGGATTGTGTCCTACTCTGTTCCACGAATCAATTGTCATTCACCACAGTGCAAGGTTTAAAGACACCTAAGGGCGGTTACAGGAACTTAAAAATCCTGATTAAGACAATGGCTAAAGGAAGATCTCTTACAAGGATCCAAACAATTTAGGAAAGAAAAACTCGGAAAAGAAACTGTGCTACATAAAATAGGTCGGCGCATTCAACTTAATTTCCGCAAACTATCCGAAGGCTAATTACGATTGAGTGCTAGTGAACTAATCCTGACAGGCTACTCTATAGAAAGAGCATAAAAAACAGAAAAAATTAGGTTGTGGCGAAGTCCGTTACGAAATCCAGTGCGCCAACAACTGAGACTTGAACATACACCCAATCCCAAAAGATAGGAGAAGGTAAGGCGAATGGGCTATTGAATCGTTCCCCAAATTCAGAGGCACATCCAGGATCAGCATCAAATAACATGCTTGGTGAAATGGTTTCACAACGAATAGTTCAAGGCGCCTACCCACTCCAATTCCATTGAACCGCGCTGGCGCTCCCCATGCCGTTCCGGAACCATATTTTTCGGTATACCAGATTCCCATTCCGTCTGCTGGTATGCCGCCGTCAGATGATAACCGCAGATGTGCCTTGAATAAGCAACAGAAATCCCAAAAATCACTTTTTTTTTTCGTGGTAAAAATGAAAAGTATGAAGTCCGCCGATTTTCGAGCAATTTTTGCCTTCTTTGAACTATTTTGCACCACGCCTTCCATTATTTCACTGGAACCAAATACCTCAAAATAATCGCGAACACTGTTTTCAACCCTTCTACCCTAACAGATATCACTAAAAAGAAATAAAAGAAAGTCCTGGGGAATGAATTTTTGGTTGGGAGGGATAGGGAGTGATACGAGTGAAATAATAAGTGATACTTTCTTGAGTTTCTAGTACCAAGGAAAAAAATCGTTGCCTTCAATCTCACCAGGATCTTTACAGGATCTGCGACACAGCACTAACCTATAACTGAGCAATGGTCAATGGAAGCCATTAGCAGTACATGTTAATGTTGTTGACTGATGATAAGCCATTATCAAAAGTCGTTATTAATGACCCCTCTTATCTTCATAAATATAAATTATTTATTGATTGGGATTTTCGAATCGCTCAATGTTGGCTAAGCATTGACGCAACCGAAATCGGTAAGAAGAAAAAACGTTACTCTATCCTGTACTGAGTGGCAAACCCTAATGAACAGTGTTCGTAATCTCATAGCAAACAATGAACCAACTTTAGCATCGTCACTGCTTTCAACACTTGCCACTTGCCAGTTTTCAAAAACCTACCTTACCATCCGACTCATCGTAAGGAACTTATATAAGATGCTTACACCGTAAATACAAATAGGTTGGGAGTTGGCTGCTAAAAAATGAAAAAAGTCATCGATCCAATGGCTCTCATCCTTCAAGATTTCTTAACATATCTTATCATTTGTTATCACTTCATGTCACCAACGAGCCAACTTTCGGTGAGACCCCTTGAGACATATTCACTTAACCCACCCAAGTGCCACCTAAAGATACATGCAACAACACACCACACATAGACACAAATGCACTTGAGTTATTTATGGTAGGGCACAATTTTGTGCCGATAGAAACGGTAATGGTATTGTCTTTGGCCCTGACCATAAGGCATAATAATCAGTGGAAGTACGCACATATCAATGAGTTGAACACGACAAAAAAGGCACAAGCTCGTCGACTTCGAACTTTATCATTCATAGCAGTTCTTGCAATCGAAACTTCAGCAAAAATATGAGAGGATTAGATTACTTATTGTTTCGCTTGTTGCGCTAAAGCCATAAGCAAGATCAAAAGAATGACGAAACATTTTTGTCGCAATGGTCTGGGGCATATTGTTAGAGTGGCAGAAATCCTGTACGACTTTTATTTGCATCAGCGAAATCTCTTGATATATCAAATGGTAAAGATTTTCCATTTTAATTGTATTACAACCCTCGTTCGGTCAGTCATGCAAACAAGGAATAAATATTGGTTACCGCAGTCATCCTATTTTAGTTTGATCTTTCTTTTCCTAAACTTTCATTGATTACCGTTTTGTAAGAAGAAAGAAGAGCAAAAGAAAAAGTGAAGAGCTGGGGTCTTACTAATGATTAGGTATCACATAAGTCGCTTGCTGGAATGTTGTTGAAATGAATCAAATATACAAACTCCGAAATCTATGTTAGCTTACCATGGAAGAATTACCGTCACAAACTTGAAAGTATGGGGAAGATTAGGAATGGATATCAGTGTTATGAACAATTGAGTTTTATTTATGAATATACCATACCTGAACTTCCCAATCTCTTGCCGAAAGCCTGTTCTTGCTCCAAACGGCACCGCTTAGTGACCGTTCATCTCTTGTCAATCGAATCCATTGCCTTGACGCGAAAGCATCTCCTATAAAAGGATACATGTTTTTGCGTTCATACTCCGTAATCGGAAACACTTACCATAAAGAATCCAGTCGTCCAAATTCCTGTATGGTGGTATCAATTGAAAGTCACGTAATTCATAGCCACGAGTCTCATCTACATGAGTACCAGCAATTTCCGGTGGAATGTAGTCTTGTCCACTGGTCACGGAGCACAGTAGCACAAATATGTAAAGCCACAGCATTTGATGAATACCGGTGTCCATGTGGAATCGCCACTTTCCTCTCGTTCCACGTGGCGACCTATCCTCAATCTCTTGTACACGTCACTCCGTCACTGAAAGATTGCTATGTCCGTTTTCCGAGTTTCCTCGTCCAAATTTCATCATTTCCTTTGTCGCATCTACGTTTCTGATTGATCTAGCTCTAGATAAGTCAAGAATTCACCATTACGCGAAAAACAAGCTGTCAAACACGGACCGAAATGAGGTGTGAATGACTGTCCGCTTATGCGTGTGATTGTAAGTAGTAATCGTAATTATCTTGTTGATTCACATTTGGCACTATGTTGAAAGAGGGAGAACGTCCTTGATTTTAATGGTGTCGATCATATTTTAGTGGTGAATTGTGTTCGGTCGGTATCGATTGATATCACAGTGCGAAAGTTTACGCCCCACCACATTTACCGACTTCCAGTTTTGTTGCTCTTCCACAGAAGAGTTATGGTTACCCGGTCAACTTCATATTGGTAGTAATCGTGTCTAATTCATCGGGATAACCTTAAGGAAAGTCTGTTCAAGCGCTATCATCACATCATCACGCGTATCACCACAAACTTGACTTTTCAGTTCCTTCCTTATTAGTAGCGCTCCAAAGCTGGTGGAGAATCCTTTCATCTAAATCCCTTATCTCGTAATTATGGAGATTTTTGGAAACGACAAGGTAGACCGTCAGTGGAGAAAAATGAAGAGGAAAATATTGTTTCCATATCAGAAGGGTAGCTACTACGGAATCGGTTCACAAGCCCGACAAATTAAAAACCTTTGCAAATCGAAAACTCAGAACTTCTACTATCAAGTAAATCTAATCCCCACCGTTAACCTGTAATCTCGTCCATTTCGTATTTGAATAGGACGTTTTTATGCCTCTTATCAACGCAAAGCTTATTAACAACAACAAATGATATGCAGCTTAGTGATTAGGTCAACAAGGTCACTTCTTGGTTGATGAAGAAGTACTTTTTAGGTTGAGCGCGACCATTGCTGATGCACTTCAACTCGCAATCAGCTCCAAGGACGCACTGAGCCCGTGAGCTTGTCCATACAATATCTTCATTAGTGAACAAGGGTACTTTTAGAAAAAATATATAACAACTATTAATGGAGTTACCAGAGAGTCCCTTTCCCACCGCCTTATCGGCTTGAATAGTTCTGCAGAAAAAGCTCACTTTTTCTCGGCATAGTCCGATGGAGAACTGTGTTCTACTTTTCTTCAATATGAAGGGTTGAACTTCGGATGTGATGAATGTGCTTCAAGGTAGAATCACTAATAACTTAGCAAAAAAATCGTTACGGTTACTCCCGCAAAAGCACTCTAACTAGGTAAGTAGCTACAAGAGCGGGCGAAGTTATATGAAGCATTTTGTGATAGGATTGACCCCGCAACAGAGTTCTCCATAGTAGCTGAAAGTGGCCATATTTACAAGTGCGCGAGTCGCATTGACCAAAGTCGCTTCTTTGCAACAACACCATGACGTTTTTCATAACATCACAAATGAATGGAATGTACTCATTGTCAGTACAAAATAGAAGAAATATGACCAAAATCACGTGTAAAATTTTAGTAACAGAACCATTTTGAAACTATGAACCACTAACCGGCATTGCCAAAAAACGAACATTGCTTCAGCAAAGAAAATAAACAGAACCTAGTCATAATGACCTATTACATTTATTATTTCCATTAGAAACAAGTTTGTATAATGCAATCTTTACACACATGAACTATGAGTAGTGAGTATAACGCCAAATGTAGAAATAGAACATATAAAATGAAATATTCAAGAGAACCAGTGACGAACAGTGCTGACAAAGGGAGAGAGAATGAATAGAAGGGAGGAAGAACGCAGACAGCTAAGCCTTGCGATGAGGGCATCTGATCGCTCATAAGTGATGAGGGACATTTCAAGATGCTAAGGAAGACGGCACGATTGTTCGACTCCAGACCAAAACTACGATATCGCACTAATACCTTCTGATGACTGAACGGGAATACACATCACAGCACAATAGAGGGTTAAAACAAGAGAGAGAGAGAGCTAAGAAATAAAAACTCCCAAACATTGCTCAACAAAAATCAAGAACAAACGCCTATACTGCCCTCTTCTAATGAACAAACTCGCAAGGAGTAAAAAAAANAAAAAAAATGAGGCCAAAATGAAGCTGAATTCACCGAGAAGGCTAAAAGCCTGAATGAGAGAATACTTTGGGATTCAAAACAAACGACCATACTGATAAAAAATATCATCATGGCAGACCCGCCCATTGTGCGCAGCCACAGCGAAGCGCGGGAAACGCGTGCATTCAATGAAAAAAGAGAAGCGATGCGCTGTGACAACAACAGCTACACAACGTGCGAAAAATGCAAAACACGCCTTCGTGCGATGAGGCTGACTTAGAGAAAGGGGAAGGACGTGAGGTCGACGAACCACCGACCTATAGGCAACCCCAGCGCCAATTCTATATACACCACGTTGTGGATTCAATTGTAATAATGAAAGGAACAACGAAACGAAATCCGTCGACTGTACACGACTTAACTGACTATGCAATGGCAAGTGGTTAAAATAGTGCGTTTGGTCACGATGTGAGGTAAACTGTAGCTCAATCATTGTGTTGTTGCTTCCTCAGATAAGCCGTCACTCTCCTTTTTAACCACACTATGCTCTACGGCATTCACAGGGGATGTACCAATAGACGTCAAAGACTGAAAGAAATGACCGCATGAAACATCATTAGATTAAGAAACCCTCCAACCCTTAAATGCTGAAAAATTTTTACCTCCACAGTTGCATCACTGCCATTATTGTAGACATCGTGCACATTTCCCGCCACAATCGAGATCCCAGTATCATCAGCAAGAGGATCATTCATTTTATACATCTGCAAAGATTATAGCATGGAATTAAAAGCTGTTCATCCCAATATACTCGTAAACACGAGACAGAAACCTTGTAACTATTTTCATCATCAATCGAGTTAGATCGCAGCGTAGCGGCATCGTGGGCAGCTTGCTCTCGACTGTATTGAATAGCTGATTCCGCTACGCTGCTCACCTAAAATACCGATAAGCAGATGGATTTAATAAAATCGAGGATTATGAATTTGTCACTGGACACAATAGTATTAATAACAGAATGATTATTCAGTATTTGTTGCAAAATCATCTCATCTAAAAATCCCCTGCTTTGAGGGACATTTTCATTTTCCTTCCGTGGTAGCACAGGAAAGGAAACTGCGATAATGGCAAATCATAAGAGGTTGAAAATCCCGAACCATCGACAACGAGGGCTGCACTTGATAATGACGGTGGAGGTTGATGGATGCTACTATATATAACAAAATGGTACCCAAGACTGATATAACTAGCGATTGCCTTGAATCGAAACGATTTTCTAGTCAGAAAGCATGAAAAATAGCAGACATCAAACGGGGTTGAAATGCGATTCACGTTGCCACTTTGATCTTTAAAGTGTTTGCAATCTCACACATCAATCACCCAACCCTTCCAAGTTTGTTGTATTAAATGAAACTGAATGCACAAGTATATTACACAGGGCAGTACTTTGTGCTCCGAAAAGAGTCAGCGGTTGACAGAATGACATGGCACACCTACATAAAATCAGCTACCATTCTAAAGTAATGTTTTGATGCTGGCTTTTGTGACCACTCTGCAAGAATTTTGGCCTTTAAAATTATGCGTTGATAGGGATGAGCTCACTGTATTTTCTACGTGGAAAAGAGAACCGTCCGAATGACAACACAATAGCACGAGTATGACATAATAGCATAGACCTGGAAGATGTGATCGGCGAATTCGCAAACACTTTTTCTACAATTTTGTGTAAGCAAAAACTAGCAAGTGTGTGTCACAAATATTGAAGTCGGATGCTGCCGTCCTCACACCTGTTATAAGCTGAAGAACTAGCATGTTTAATGGGGAAATTCTTATGAAATTATGAAAGCAGCTCAGTAGTTACACATATGAACTTTTTTGCTTGCAGTTTAGGACATAATGCCAGCCCCCTAGTGTTACTGGTAAATTGCCTTTATGACAGTAGACTCGAGCCGAGGTCAAGAAAGTTAACAATCACGCCACCAGCGTCAGGTATGGTTGCAATAGATACAGCACGACAAAGGGTTTCGAATACGGTGAGAGACAAAAAATTGCCCCACGCCAGAAATAAAGAGAGGTTGACATGTCACAAGTTGTGCTGAGAGAGCTCTAGAAACAACATACAATTAAAAGAACATTATTCAGAGGATGTAATAAGAACTTGCGATCGTCATAAATTGCCTGTTACGAGCCTGTGATATTTGACTTCTTCACGAGAGTTGGAAATGAATACTCAGCGGTACAGAGAAAAATCAGTGCTTTCTGAAGAAGCAAACAAAACGATGCCTTGATCAATGGTCAAGACCCTTTTCAAATCAAAAAGATAAAATAAGAGGGAGAAAATAAGTATTCAAAAAGAAAAGGTAGAGAAAATAAATAAAGTCTGTGCGAAATGATGCAGTAACAAACAAAATGTAATCGCAGGAAAAACCGTCAATGGGAACTTCTTCTAAGAGTGGAGTAGTCCATATGTATCATATCGTTTGTTCTCTGGCTTATATCTTATTCGTACGGAATGATTTGAAAATGAGTTTACCAATTTTTTGGAAAAAAGATTGAAGATGTAATCAAGAAAGGACTGGAAAAGCTACATAGAATACAATAGAACTTCCCTGCCATTACGGTCAAAATCGTCCGAGGCTTTACACTTTAGCCGCAGTACACAAACAGGCTTAGTTGGGGTCTGTGTTGTTAGAAAGATCGTCATGCAATCGACTCTCCCCTCCATACAAACACTTTGAAGGCTTAGTAAAGCATGTTCATTGAAATACCACTTTCATAATACTATGAACACGTATTTAACGAAAAAAAGGTCACACAGCACATCATATAAAGAGCATGTTTCCCCTTCAAGTTCAACTTTTTCTGATGCATTCTATATCCCAAAATAATTTTTGCATCAACTCCTGGTGTTAGAGACTTCAAAACACTTTTACCCCTCTCCCGGTCCTAATTACCGACCTAAACCTCAGAAACAACGAAAGAAAAATAAGGTTGCTTACAGTGGCTTCGACATGTTGCATGCTGGCGGGCTGCCGTCGATTGCGCGGATGGGGGGCAGGTGGACCGTTTCCAATTGGACCAGATCCCGAGTTAGCCGTAGGGGGAGAATCCGGCGGTGGAGAAATGGGGCGCACCTGGAATCGCACAATTATTCACCATTTACCACAAAATATACTCTCATTTTATCGACTCGCACCTAAGAAATTGCGCGATCAATAAGGTATCGTTACCTGTTGATAAGGTTGAGGTTCATCGCTATTCGGACCGATTCTACTCCGTCGACGGGCGTTCATGAAGAAATTCGCAACAGTAGAGAGATCAAGGCGTAAATGTTCCGCTATGGTCTGCTGCATCTCACGTGAGGGACGTTGCGTCTCTTTGAAAATAGCCTGAACTTGTACATATAATGGTAACTCAAATAAAGAAAAAAGCTCAAGTCAGGCTGTCCTTATATTTATAGGAACGCTTGAACTCTACAAATAGGAATTCAAACATTTAAACTGGAATATTTCGAAGTTCACACGCATTTTACCTGCAACGTTCGCTTCTGGATATCGGTGAACACAAGTCGTGGACGCTTATTTGAAGGCTGGTCGGAGTCCCCAAGACTGCGTCGAGAAGCATGCCGCACATTCTGAGCAGGTGTTGGAGGGGACATCCCACATCCGGCAGGTGCTTTGCCACCTACTACCAGTGATTGCTCATCTCCTTCTATAAGCACATACTCAAACTTCTTCAATTCCTAGCCTCATAGCTGCTCGTGTTTATGTACCACTGAAGCGCCCCACAGTTATTCCATAACAGGTGAGTTCGGCATAGACCCAAACAGTTCATGTGTAATTCAAAAACTACGCAACAATGGATCAGCTAAAGATAATCTGTCTCCCAGAACACATCTAAATTTGCCGCAACGACAGCCCTAGTAGCCAGAATAGTGCTTCGCAACACATCTTTTCACTGTTATGTTGCTGGGCGACAAGGTTTTGAAAGCGCATCGAAAAAGCTCAACAAAGTCAATAAGGTAAACTGTTCTCTTGCAGAGAATGATAGCGCATCCGTGAATGCTGAACGATTTTGTATTCGCAGCAATTTACAAGTGAATATCAATAGAGGCACGCCGCGAGAAGCTTACCTTGCTTATACATATCCAAAATCCCCAGTCGCATAGCAAGAGGTTGTTGAACCCAATTGAACATTCTTCTGAACGTTTCGCGACCAGACTTCAATTTATTCCACGGTTTAGGATTTCGAAGTAAGTCCGAAAGTGTTCCTTGACTTCTGAAACAGTACTTGATAACTCAAGCAGGTTTGTAATGACAGCTATGCAATCAAAGGTTCACAAACCTGCACAAGATGCGTTCTGCGAAGATTGCTTGCGGAATGGAATGTTGCTTCAACTCATATGCTATTCTCTTGCATAACTCTTTCGTGTCAATGTAAATGTCATCGTCAATTTCAGCATTCAGCGGATCATTGCTGTCCTTCGTAGAATAGACGCGGCGGCCAGCTGAAACCCAAAGGGGCTTAACAACTTGGGAAGTAAAAACAATTGACAAAAGCCGTAGAAACAACCTTGAATGCAGAAATTCTTGATGAAAAAAATAGTAAAAGTAAAAAAATCGACCCGCTTTAACATATTATACAAAGTGAAACACAAAAAATTCTGAAGTTACATAACATGCAGTAGACTGGTATATTATTCATTGGAGACACGCTCATTCAACAGTCGCTAGCAAGAAAAAAAAATTTTTCAGACTTGAGAAAAAGGAACGAGCATCGAAAATCACCGAAAAGTGAGGAATAGCTTTCGTATATCTACACCAATTACATATTTCAATTTTTCTTAAATTGGCTTTGAAAAAAAGATGGCAAAAACAACTGTAAAACCACATCAAAATAATTTTCAGCTACTAAAGCGCAAACAGTGACAGACAGTGTCCTAAGTACATACCTTTTTGCGAAAATTGTTGCCTCTGCAGCTCTAATTCCGCATCGTCCCCGTTCGAGCGGCCCTCGAGAGAGTCTTCCGTGTCTCGCTTTATATTTGCTATTCGTTGTTGCATCATAGCCGTTGTTGATTGAGGTACGCCTACGGAGTAGTTTTGCGGAGATGGAGATGAAGTACGCTTAAAAATCACGTTTGAAATGAATGAAATGCAACAGTACTTGCATAAATAACGTTAAACACTATGAGGACAGCAGAAATTCCTACTTGCTCTCCTATGAGACTGGCTATCATGGTAGAAGCCAACTCTACATTGCTCACAGCCGGGGGCGTTTCGGCCTGCGCAATACGTTCCAAATCCTGTTGCTGTTGTTGTTGAGAGGTTAATGGGATTTGTTGTTGCATGAGCAAGTGATGGGAGGCCGCATCAAGAGGATCTGTTTCTTCCTAGAATGTTAAGAAATTTAAGCTCCATGACATAGTTAAACAGTCAATCCAAATAATATTGAAACAAGGAACATAGTAGGAGTGAAACACGATTGCCGGTACCACATTCTAGTCGGCACAGTTTCACAGACGTTCGCTCCTAACCAAAACAAAAATTTGTTGACCTCACCTTGATATAAACATGGCGAGCAAATTCAGAATTGCCGGTGAGTCGACGGCTATGACTATCCAAATGGAGTGGCGAAAGCAAGCCAGCAGGTCCAGTTCCAAAGCTGCAAAGCAAACATGTATAAGATTTTCAGCGATAGGATACAAAAGGGTAATCCCAACAATACTTGTCTATTGAACTACTTGTTCCTCCGCTAGGCATGGAAACTGAACAAATAAAAAAAGTTATCACATCAAAAAGACACAAAAGAAAGCCGGACGAATAAGTTGAGATTACAAAATTCAAAAAGTGATGGAATTTGGAATTGGAAAAGTTAAGTAGGGATTGCATGATTGAGAAGAGTTTCATTCCATTCTAGTTGCTCCCCTTGAACTTATTTCTAAGTGAGTCTAAGAATACCCTGTGAAACTTCATTTTTTGTTTATTTTGATTTTGCTTTCCACAAAACAAATACTGGTATTTTACTGAAGTATACTTGAACTTGACAACAATACTCAATGTTATAATGCTATGTTTCTTTCGTTTATAAATAGAGGACAGAAGCAAATGAAATAAGATGGCGAAGGCTAAGGAAAATACCATGAAACGTAATCGAACAAATGAAAAGAAAAGTCAAAAAAAAAGTAGATTAAATGCGATAGTGAGGAGATAAAGAATTTACAACAAACCTATCGAGCCTTGACTTGTCTAGAACGGGATGTCGAATCTGCTCCTGGTACTGACTTCCGATTGACATCATATAAGGGCCGCTGGAAAACAATACCTTCGCAAAGGATCCTCGGAAGACTTATTGTTATTCTAAACAGGATGAACCTTTGGTCCGAGCCTATACTCATTGGAGCTAAGGGCGCCAGCTGCGGACTGTTCGCATGGTCGTTCATGAGCTGTCCTAACGATTGCGAACTTTGTTGAGGACTAATAGTGTCCAGAAAATTCTCAGGCAAATCTTCGAAATTCCGGGTAGCATTGTTTATAAATGTACTCGACGGATCTATCTGCAGATAATCAGCAGCCTGACGGCGTTTCTCCATCCTGGAAACTTCTCAACTCAAAAAAAAAAACAAAACTCAGCGCTTAGTTAGAGGACCACAAAAAGTACAGATTGCAAAACAATCATAAGAATCGACTGACCCATTAGAAGAGTTTTGAGAATTACATGAAGTCACCGCAGGCGGCTCCATTACATAGGCGTTTAAACAACAGCTCCAGGAGCAAGCAGGCAAGGGGAGACCTGTAAGTAATTCGAGGAAATTAGCGAGCCATAATACATTTTCGCGATACATATCCGCGATATGAGCACAACGCCACTCAGCAAAGGTGACCTCGAGTTCAAGGCCTTACAATAGCCGTTCGCATTTTATGTACGGCCAAAGACGCCCTTAATAAACGATGGCTAAGGAAACGCATAAGACAAGGAAAATTGACGAACGTTGAAGACTTTGGGTACATTGGCACTAGGGAACTTCTCAGACCTTTCAAGATAAATAAATCAGGTTCTGTACAATCCACGGGACCAAATTCGAACCCCTCAAAACTTGGGCTCGAGCACTTGCAAAGACTTAAAGGTAAGTGTTTAGATATTATAAGAAGTGCTAAGGGAAGATGCTAACGGCATAGGAAAACCCTAAGAGAAAGTATTGATTGGCGACACAAACCGATCGATAGCAGTGTTGTGTATGCGTTATTTGCAACGCCCCGCTGTTCCCTGCCTGGCCAGAGTTTTCTCTGCGCTCTAACGCCAGACATGCGCAAACGAGCAAATATTCAGCCGGGTGCACGGCCGCTTGGTACGCAGTGAAAACCAAGAATTCCTGTCGACGAGGAGCGGGCGGGACTTGGCAAGTTGCCGACCACTTCACCACTTAGCACCGGTGTAGGTGCCCAAGCAGGTGAGGTGTGGGTTTTAATGCTGATTGCGGCTGATCATGAATGTGGCCAGATGGCGCCTTGGTCGTAGTGAGTCTGTCTACAAAAAGGTGGTGAATGGATTGTGAATTGGGTCCAACAACAATCTGGGCAGTGGTGATCTTCGCTTGAAAGAATCACGCATCTCCTCGGTTTCAAGGAAAATAAGGAATTGTAGTGATTGCATGGGTGAGCGGATTGGTGAGCTAGGTGTCATGCGTAGACTCTGAACTTTTCTGAATGTCGCTCGGGCTCGGAATTTTTCACCCGGTATTTAGTGAGTTTGTATAGTTTGAAACGGTTCATCATCTTCCTTTGCCCAGGGTGGTGGAGGGTGGTGGTGTATGACGGGTCTATTCCTAACCAGGAACGGAAACAACTTAGGAACAGATATGAAATACTTGATGCGTTTTCTCTCCGACCGATAGTGGTCATAGTTCAGTTGTGGCGGTTTTGTATCCTTCGAGGTTTTTTTTNTTTTTTTTGGAATGACCTCCCCGGTGTGAAGTCGCGCAATAGATATGCGTTCGGCTGTTCTGGCTGTTCTGCATGAACGCGTCAGGAAAAAAGTTCCTTCCGAATTATAAACTCACTGATCCACGCCACACTGACTTTTCTGTCTGTTATCCACAATTCACGTTCATGAGTTCTAAGCTTCTAATTAGCTGTTGGGAAGGGAGGAAACCAATGTTATCGTGATTGCTTAATTTCTTTCAGGGTAGACGAATTGCTCCAACTATGATGAGTTGAGATGAGCAGAAGCATGGGGAGTCGATGAGGCATCAGGATAGACGCGGCGTATTTTCTAGAAGGATTTTGGACGCACGAGCCTCAGTTGTTAAATGTAAGTTTCTATTTGTCCGTCTGGGGTAGGTTGATAGGTAACATTTAGACTGCTGATGACGTCACTTGAAACAAACATAGCTGATTTGAACTTGAAGACTTCTCAGTTGCTGTCCTACTGTCTTTCGTCAGGAGATTTATGGTTGAAAATTGTTGATACAAATAGGAATAGCATCTACTATATGAGGTAAGTGTAAGTCCCTTGCAGAACGTATTTCAGATGCTGCTATTTATTCAGCGAGGATGAGGTGGAGAGGATTGGCAGAGAAGCGAATCCGGGTGAACATGTTCTACGAGCCTGGGGCAACCGTGGTCAATCAGTACGTGACCTGCTTGTTCGACTTCAGGCCCTCTCAAAGTATCATGGGGCTGCCATGGACCAGGCACAACTCATTCTATCGAGGAAATTCAGTGAGTTTATCGTTTTTCTGAACACTACAGGCCTGTGTTTCAAGTCTCCTTGATATGAATTTGTTGGAAATGGAATTGTTTGGAAAGTAGTTCATGCTCGAATTTAATAGGAATCTGTGTTCCAGAGCCACTGCGATGGGCCAAAACGGAAGAAATAATTGTCAGCACCATACAGGACAACGTCCTGAGGCTGCAGTGTAAAGCTGTGGGGTTTCCATCACCTCAGTATCAGTGGTATAAAAATGGTGAAGTTATGGATGATGCCTTGTCTGATGTCATCGACGTTATCAGGTGAGTTTATAACAAAACTTTGGACTGCTAAAGTTTACGCTGTTTCGATGCTGTGCATAAGTTTAAAGTTGTGGAACACAGTGAATACTCGAGAGTCTGATCATAAACAGAAGAAATTCGAAAAAATCAAAATTTTGTTATTACAGTGATTTTATTTCACGAACGTTACCAATTCTCTCTCCCTGCTCTTCATTTTTCCGGTCTAGCTGAACCTCTTCAACTTTAAATTTGAAGTTTCTTTGAATGTTTGATTAACATCAGTAATGCCATCTTAATCGTGAAGATGTTGCGAAAGTGTAGCGGCACTTCTTTTTTGACTAATCTTTGGTTGTAAAAGATTTGCTCTTATTTTTTTTTATTGAGAATGACATCGTATGTCAACCGTCTTTCCGCATTTTCTCTTATACATTTCAGTTCACTTTTAAAAAGGAAGCTTAAATGTCTTCAGTTTCAAACTGCCGTTGTTGTTTCGGTTGCTCAACACTACGATCGACCCTTGAGCGTCGATAAAAATAAATATCGAATTTCAAAAGGAATTTCCATACGCTTTCAGACCACTCCCATTTTCTGGTGGTTTTTGGCAATCTTTCATTGATCTGAGTACATTAGTGATGTTTCCAAAGCTCCTTTGCATCATTGCTCCATGTCTAAAACATATGACCACTACTTGAGACTAGTGCTGAAACCCCTGCTACTCCTGATGAATAATTCTTCGTTTCTAAACACATTGCAATGTCCATATATGTCCTTGTTAAAAAGAAATAGAAGAATTTTGCAGGTGTAAATGCTCTTCGGAGTTCACGTTTTACTGCGTCGCAACTAATGAAGTAGAAGACGGGCACATCTATTCTGAGTTTTATCGAAAACCTGGAAAGCAGTACTGCTCTCGAATCGTTTCCCGTACCATATCGATGGAGACGTTTGTTGGCCAAGATCAGAGTAAGCCTATTATGTTTTTGTTTCTTTATCAACTGTGTACGTTAGGTTCGGCGAATCTGTACAAATTTCGGCCCTCAGCTCCTGGTAACCCTCGATGCTCGAGTGAGCTGAATATGACGCGCTCTTCCTCTTATGGGGTTTTCCCGCTATTCTACCTTTGCTAGACTTGTAGGTGACGGCAAAACACATCCGACTGCTGCGAACCATGTTTTTGAAGTGCGCTACTCAGGAATACCTCGAAAAGTTATTCCAGTGGTATATTCCAGTTTGCAATCGATTTGGTTGATCGATATGATTGAAAAATACCCGTTACCCAGTCAAAGGTGTTACGTAAAAGAAATAGAATCCAGTGTTCGTTGCGCACTGTTGACACACTTCGCCATTCGAATCGGCAGTGGGCGATACCAGTGCATTTATAGTGCAGAGCCAGTACTCCCATGCAAACTACTATTCGATAAAATCATACCATTTCCTAATATTTAAACTTCTCACTTTTCCCGAGTTCGAACATCTTCAGAATGTGAAAACTGTCGGAATGGAGATATGGAGAACTTACGAGAACTCATGGCCAGTATGAATACGTCCGCGATAGAGGAGCCGCCTGACCCTCCAGGTTCGTCTTAGCCTAATGAATATTGATGTTATGGAGAACTGAGTATGCCATTTGATAGTGTGTATGATTTCAGAGGTTGATAATGCTGAAGTACTTGTTGCTGCAGACAAGGTAGCCCTAATTATCAGCAACTGCATGTACCAACACCTACCAAAGCTGGCTACCCCTCTTTGCGATGCTGAGACGTTAGCAACTGCCCTGCAGGTTCGTTATTAGGTCTATACATAGTCAACTTCCGATCTTCCTAATGGGCAGAGCGTAAATCTCGGGATTTCAGGATCTCAAGTTCAAGACGGTAACATTGGCTGATCTCACTCTTGTTGAAATGAAATACCTCATTAAGGAATACAGGAAGCTCTTGGGCAATGGAGTCTATGGTCTGCCGTTTTTAAACGTTGCTGAATTTGAAATTTGAATCTGATGTTGCAAATGCATTGCTTTGCAGCTGTTTTCTATTTTGTGGGACATGGTTTCGAGGTCAACGGGCAATGTTATCTTCTTCCTGTAGATGCTCCTTCGGAATCATACAAACCGGAACATTGCATTTCTATGGATTATGTCCTTCATGAGTTCAGTGATCACAACCCAGCTCTCCACCTTCTTCTTCTGGACATGTGCAGAAAGTTTATCCCGTAAGATGAAAATCTTATTTGGATTTTATTGGTTTTGACAATCATGAATCGCCTCTTTTCGGTTCGAGCATGTGCCTGCCTTTGTTGAATATGCGCAACCTTTTCTCATGAGACACAAGCCTAATCGAAACACCGTTTACGGATATTCCACAAGTGGTGGAGTAGGAGCCTACGAAGTTGGTCTCCTCTTTTTCATCATCATTTTGAGGTTCCTTTTACATGTTGACTGTTTAGATAAAAGGAGAGATGAATGGTGTGTTCGTTAAATACTTGAAAAAGCGCATACATCAAAAGATTTCTGTCATCCAGCTATTGAACGACACTTCACGAGGTTCACTATCTTCACTGTAATTGCAATATTGTGATAGTTTCCGTTTTCTTCAAGAGTCTAGGAACCGTGGCAATATGAATAGGGAAGCTGAAAATTTCAGATATTGAGGAGGATGCGAAAGTGAGCGATGTTCAAATTCCTGAATTGCGTTCAACATTGACGAGACCGCGTTCCTTGACTGATCCTCTTGTTTGGGATGGGCATACGGTCTCGTTTGACCATCACACCATTCACTGGAGACTTATGCATGGTAGCTCTTCATAGTTGATAAGTTTTTGAATTTAAGATTTAAGAGCCATAGTTTCATTTTCTCAGAACTACCAAATCCTGTCTACGTACGTTTCGAAGAATTGGCACTTTTCGTCACAATATGGTTCGACTTTTGTGGACATTTTACAAACAAAGTAAGAGAGAAGTTGTTGTTTTTTTTATAACATTCCTTTCTTGTAGAAGAAAACTCAACCCTGACCAGTTGTGGGTACACGTACACATAGCGCATCTTGGGGACGCTATAACAAAAGCCACTTCTATAATCTACTGAACGATCGTATGAAAGAATTTATGAGTAATGGTTCACAATCGTGCGTTTAGAACTTGGAGTTTAGGGAGTAGGTGTGATTCTTAATGATGGATCGAAAGAAACTGTTTTGTACAGTGATTAGTGAACCTCGACATATACCAGTGGGATCGTTTGGCTTACACCGGACTTTCCATCTATATTAAAAGCTCAGAATGCCCGGTTACACAGAGCATTACTCATTAAATTACGAATGGACAGTCAACATTTCTGATGACAGGCTATTTGAAAAGAGAAATCGTGGAATTGGGTGGGAACTACATTCTATATGCTATAAATGATGAGTTTCACTCAAAATGAGCGAAGCCACCACGAAGCAATATTCGATAACGCTGACTCTTGTAGTTATGAAGCTTTATTCCGCTGCTTCTGGTTTTAGTTGACAGAAATAGTACTTGATCGTAGAGGTTTAAACTTTTCCTTTGGTACCGCACTTCTTTAGTTTGCAGCATACTCGGTTTTTCGGCCGTTTTTTTAAAGACTTCCACATTCAGTTAGTTGGGTAACTTTCGTGATAGCTCTAGCTAGTATGAAGGAACAACGTGATTCCTTATTGCGCCTTCAGTTTGAGCACGATACACACCAGAGGGCAAGGCTTCATTGGTAGTATGACAGAATCTAAATCTTCATCCGATCCACTATCCACACCAGGAGGGCAAGGCTTCATTGGTAGTATGACAGAATCTAAATCTTCGTCCGATCCACTATCTTCACCTTATGAGCCAGATTTGTACTGCACCAGTGTTAACAGGGAAGGTGTAGGCAATCGTCTTGCTTCCAGTCATAGCTAACATAGCAAAGTATCAATTTTGCGCTGTCAATACGATAGACGATTGAGATCTAGTGGCTTTGCTTTTCGGCGCTCATTGTGAGCCTTTATCAGCTATGTTTAGCCCTCATCGCCAGCCACAGATGATCCTGTCGCACTACATCTCACATCAATGTTTGGCTGTTCCTCTATCAACGCGAAGGGTGTAACAGATCCAGTAGCTTCTACTCTCTGCGGCCCTTCATCACCTCTATTCGGCTATCAACACTTCAAGTTGTTTATCCCGATACTCACATATAACCTCAGGTCACATGCACTTACACACATACATACATACACATGCACATGCTCATACACAAACCACACACACACCAATTCTGTATTCCTGTTTGCCCTCAACTTGATGATTTTCTATCAGTTCCATTCGTCTTAGAATGGGTGAAAAAAGGTGGTAATAGGGACCTTATTAACGTCTGGGTGTTACATGTTAGGTCCAAGATGTGGAGAAAGTTGGAACTTCTGATATGTTGTCGTTGTTTTCCAGGCAGCCGACGTACCTTAGTCTAATTATTTAGGTGTACGTTTTTTCGTCTGTAAGCGATCTACAGGAAGAACCTTCAGAAGAATTCGATAAGAAACTGTCTGAAAACGCCTTGTCACATATCGCTTATTTGTCTTTTCCATCGGTAAACTATTACAATAATACAAGTGTCGCGGAAATGAGATAGTTCGATTTGATCAAGTAGAAATATTTAAGGAGCTTGACGCTTCGAAAGAGCGTCTTCTCTCTGATGAGGACGAAGGTGTTTCGTTGTGCCTCCTCCTCTCTCATCTCCAGCGGTCAAAAGTGAGAAGTTTTCAACGGTATAATGTGTAGGATTCTGTAGCACTTTTATTCAAAATGTACGGTTTAAGGGTGAGCTGAGCTGTAGAATACTATTGAAGAACGTGAATGACAAGGACACTGTTGTTGCAACGCGTGATGTGGTGCTGGGGCATGTGCTGATCACAAGGATAGAGATGATTAGGTGATGCAAAAAAGACGGAGCTTTTGGACGAACGTCAGTGCTCCTCCGACAGTGACTCGAAGCTGTTGAAGGTGTTTCTCTTGATATCATTCGACATCCTTCTTCGTGGATTATGCTTGCATTGCACTGCAAATATATGAAATCAGGGTCCAAGTCTATTATTAGAATTTGGAGATTATTATTATACACGAGCTTCTCAGGTCAGGTGTACTTATGTGTGATGTCTATTAGTTACAGGTAATTTTTGAATGCTATATGTATGGTTTGGGTATATATAAAAAGTTCAAAAACTTAATTTTCAATGTGTGACATCTGTGGGTTTTTTTCCCTTTCACTTCGCTTGTGTTATCATCTATATGAACGGGAAGCCAGCCAGTGCTGAACCGTGTTTACAGCGAAAGCCTACATGAACAGGCAATAATGACTGTTCTCGCTTTGTAGGCATGCAAGGGAAATCGAAAGGAAATGGTTGCAATCAATCATCTCACACTGGCATTGTCATCACTTTAGTTTCCATCCGCAGAGGAGTCTGATGTGGTCTGGTTCACGAATGACCAGTACGTGAACCGTTCAGACTGCTCGTCTCTTTGGCAAAGGACTGTGACTACGATAGGGATGCTTACTATCGACTTATGTGCATAATGTGGACCCCTTGGGAGAGTCAATTACAAAAGCCTGCTTTGAATCTGAAGCCTCTATTGAGTTCCCATACAATGGGGTCAGTGCCCTTTTATACGCATAACATATGTTGCTCCCTCCCGAACTGTTTTCCCAAACTCGACACGTACTCGATATTTGGCCTTGACGTTGCTTCTGAGCAGTTCTGTGCACGTCCCGTTTCAAAGCTTCAGAGCCGGAAACAAGAAGATCGAAAAGCTTCGAAGTGCTCAACTGACTGCGATATTAAGAAATCTGCGAATATGTTATGTGCACACAAAAGGCCTTTTACGGATCTTGATGAAGAGTCCTAGAACGTTTTAAAAGAAATCGGCACTTCACGAAATTTGAAGCAGATCGTCTTCGTACATCCTGATAATTAAATATGTTGTTCTTCTTAGCCTTAACTTTTTCACGTTGCCCGGTATTCTATCCAAGATGTAAGTCCTCAATAAGGCCGAAACAAAGAAGGGTCTTCGTTCGTTGATATGGTGGAAAATTCAATGAAATCACCAGCCTTGCCTTATCAGATTAGTTCCACGGCTTGATTTTGGGGATTACACCAAACAGCGACGAAGAATCCCCTCTCCACCTCACGTCACCTCATTGTAGGCAAAAGTCACGATAAAAATAATTTCTAAGAAATTTCCCTGGAATGAACCTGTGACCACCAAAAATAGCACAACGGATGCCGTCGGTTCAAGAAAACGGACAAGATTGGGCATAGTAAGGGCCCCAAAACCGGCTCCGCCGACGTTCACACCCAAAAGCGGACGAGCTTTCGCGACTTTCGAGAGGTTGTGAAGGTTGCAACATTGGCAGCGGGACGTAAATAATGCACGCAGGCAGTTCACTGTAGCCAGCTGTACGCAATGGTTCACACTTTTGAACAGCTACTCCCCTCTTCCACGAAACGTTTGTCGTCACATTCTTGTCGTACTCCTATTTTTGCTGCTTTTTTGAAGCCCTGTGATCCATTGAATACGCCTATTTTCGCGTTTTTTTTTAGTTTTGCGCTATTGTGAGCTATCACTCAAGTACTCAACCAAAACTAGATGCTCCGAATTATCTCATTTTGTTAAGACTGTTTCGTGCGACAGATTAAGGCTATTTTGATATTTGTGTTGCTTGTTATGAAGTGGTAAACCTGGAAAACCTCAAGGCCAAGTGACCAAAGTAAATGGGTCGAAAGGATTTTTTTTNTTTTTTTTGGCTTGTGAACTCTGAACCTATCGAAAATCATTAGCAAAGAAGTGAATAGCAAAGTCATACTTGTGAGGTGTTTCCTCCATGATTCCTCATCATCTGAAGGTACAAGTGCAGCGCATAAGGGGCACTTTGCTGCGTAACTTCCAACAGCTGCAAGTGAAAGCTTTTTCTTTTCAACACCAGAGAGATATTCATAACTACTGAATTGTTTTTTTTTTGTTGTAAATACATTCATGCACACTTAAAGGCACAGTTCATGATGAAAGTGGCTTCTGATACTCACTCACTCTGGGATAAATCTGTGGGTCCCTCTTATACCATATCTGGCGCTGTTAGATCAGTAAACGGCCTAGATATAAATTGTTACAAGATCGTTGCTCAGATATTGAATCAGTTGAATGGCCCAGTCATAGCGGGCCAGTTCCAGTGGCGTCGTAGAGACTGCACCACTCACAAGGGTACCCATGACGGAAGTTCAAACAATTGTCCCGACCCATGGCGACAATGGAAGACAACTTTAGGCAGGTTAGCTCCATGCAGACAGCTCTCAATTGTAACAGCTAAAATCCGCCATGCCAATCCCGTACAACTTCTATTTTCACTACTTTCAGGAAGCCTTTTTCCTCACTGTGTCAAAGGACTGCTGAAAATAGATACCTCAAAATTATTATTGCGCTGTGCCTTCGAATGATTGCATTCATCAACTGCAAATTGTGCTCTGGCCACAGAATCATACCAAAAATGAACTCCTGATTTTGTGGATAGAGGACTTACGACGGCAATCTTTTCTGCCCACATGCCGGTGGAACGAAGACCTTTCGATAGATTCACCACATCGAGGGCAGGTTCGATAGTTGCCACGAACGAGGCAGTCATTCCTTCTGTGGCTCGCAAGCGACATTACCAAAACTACCTGGAAATGGAGGCACTTCACTTCAAAATGGTGACATATCACTTTTTTCTGCAAGGAAAAAAGCAGTGAAGGGTTATACCTGATTGCATCCCTCACATTTCGTAAATGCTGGGCAGATGTTCCGATAGTGTTTTTCCAAAGTGCTGCTGTCGGATTTTTCAATGTTGGCTCCACAATGCCGACATGATCTGAACTGATTGACCGTGTAATTGATTCAACCGAGCCAATTTGCTAGTGAACTTAAGCAACATATAGCTTTACGTAGCATAGTCGTTTCGTCTGGGGAGATCGTCCGAAATGCGAACTGATTTCGTGTTCGGCAATTTAGTGGATGTAGATGATT